AGTTGCCCTACTGGAAAAAACAGGTCTGTCTTGCTAGTCTCTACATCTTGGGGAAAAAAAAACAACCCAGAGATTATCCCCATTGGTAGCAGCCTGCAATTCTGATCAAGTCTGCTCTAAAATGGGACTGACCACCCCTGAAATGGTACCTCACTGTGTCACAGCTGGGAGCAGCCACCACACAACAGGTACCTCAGACAGACAGAAACCTTCCAGTCACATCCTCGAGACAGCACCAACCCGGATCCACAAAGCCACACCTGCAAACCATCGGCACAGAGCAACTGATGCTGTCAGTGAGCTGAGCTGACCTAGACTAGCTAAGAGCCAGGCTCAGAGAGCCGGGAGAGGTTCTGCCCACACTGCAGAGCTCCCTGGGGCAGTCAGGTAACAGCCACAGCCTTTCTCAGCATGGTGGCTGTGACACGCTCCCAGGAAAGAGCAAGGTTTCCCCTTATTCCCTCGAAAGGAAGAACTCTGCTTAGAAAGGCAAAGACAACTCAAACCCCTACCTATAAAACAATCCTAATATACAATCACCCACCTCCCACTGCAGCAGGTATCAGGGAGGCACAATTTGAGATGTTTTACACCCATATCACCAACCTACCCTGCTACCATGTGACTAAAACCCAGCCCATAGAGTTTTGTATAGCAGTACCAAGCAAAATCATCAGCTTTCTAACAGACATGCTGTGTTCAGCTGCGATTTTTTTCAGAAGATCTCAACTTTCCAGCCTGGCAGGCAAACATTTGCCATGATGTGCTTGCAACAGTTACGTGAAGGAGGTGTGTGCCTGCATGAGGAGGAAGAGGTGTATTCCTTAGAAGGCAGACAGGGACTAGTAATATGCCTTCCGTGTTTCCTACACGCATAAGAATTGACACCTTGGAAATGCAAACCCAGTTTAAACACAGGGGTAAACAGATTTTCTTTTAAACAGAAGATGCCAAGAATAAAACCTGTAATCGTGGTTTTTGTACTATTGCAATAAACCTCCACCTTAAATGAAAGGGCACTTTCAAATGGTTTCACCCTATCTTTCTGGTACTGTTCACCACATATGCTAGTGCTAAGTGACAGCTCACTGCTAGGGCCACACACAAGTTCCTAGACTCACACCCCCCAGCATAGAACAGAACCCGCCGCTCAAGCTACCCCTGATGTAACCAACCAAACACAGCCTTCACCTTTGTCCGATCTGAAGTTCTGCTAAAATGATTTGACTAGGAAAAGCAGCTCTGTGCACCGGAGCCTTGACTTCTCAAAACTGCTCCTAGTGAATCTAATGAAAAAGACCACAAAAAGTAAACCCAGTCACTCTCTTGCCACTCTTGATTTTCCAGAGCAGACAGCTGTAAAGGCCAATGAAAACCCTGCCCCCATCTACTCTTAGGCCCAAACCTGTCACATGCCATGTCACACTTGTTCTCTGATTTCAGTGGACCAGGTTTCTCTGTCCTATTTCTCGAAGAATCTGATTCCTCAACATTGGCCTTCAGGACACTCACTTCCAGAGAAAAGCAGGTCAGCTTTGGGGACTCCTGCACTCAAGGCACCAGATCTCACCCCCTCCCCAAATCACGCTAGAGCAGGACATGTCTGTGCCGCAGCAACCCTGACACCAACTACAGCAGTACCAGCTCCACAGCTCTAGTCCTGTATTTGGAGCTGTTGAAAACTCCAGGGAAGGAAAAAACCCTACCAAACCAAAACCCAACTTCTGCAGTGAACACCAGTGGAAATATTTAAGGAAAAAGCAGGCAAGGATCAGAACGCAGACAGCTGACTTCTCTTTTAAGAAGCTGGCAGCCACACACTGTAGATTACTCAACACCTGCTTCTTGCCCAGGTTTCAAATCTCCAGTGCTGGAACAGCCTCCAGGCTAAGGCTTTTTTTCCTGTCTCATTCAAGAGTGTTGTTGCGTCTTCAACTTCGCAGATTTCAATGAGCTGTGTAAATACTTACTTGGAAAAGCAATAAGGGGGTTGAGTCACAAATGAAGATTGACCAAAACCAAATCCTTTATTTCCACAACTGTATAAATGTGCTCCAAGTATGTGTCCAACACAAGTTAGAAAAACAAAATAGAACATGCCAGTTGCAAACTAGATCAGTTCACTGACGTGCTGACTCCTTGGTATTAGGCTTAGTTACACAAGACCAGTCACAGTAAAAAGATACATTTTAGAGTACAAAGAGTAGCAGGATGTTAAGCCATTTCAGTTTGTGCACATACAAATCACACTTCTGGCAGAAAATGCAGAGAAGTTTGCATTACTGTGCTGGAAGCTATGTTGCATCACTTTAAATGGCATCAATATCAATATCGTCATCTTTATTGTTTGCAGGCTTCACAGTTTCAACTTTAGGTACACTGGCAGTTGAAGAGTACACCACCTGTGGAGACAAGACACTTGCTTTTACTACAGCACTGACTGACACTAAGCACTGGACTAAGTGCAACACCTACCCACCCAACCACCCTCCTGGCCACGGTCATGACCCACTTAACATGCTGCTTTGTAAGGCAGAGCTGTGCATGTGCATCTGCAGGAAGCAGGATCTCATACTCAAGAAGAGAAGTGTACAGTACAGGCAGGAGAACAACCACATCACCCACATGCAAAACTTGTTCCAGCCACAGCCACCTGGAGTGTAACTAACAGACTTTATCTAGGCCTAAACTGTGAGGGAAATGGTCAGTTATTCTTTCATCAGCTGTTTTAACAAACATCCCCCCACTAACTCATTTAGAACATGCAGTTTTTTGCATGATACCTCCCCCATCAACCTTCTACTACTACATGAGCTGCTACTGTGCAAGAGACTGTACCATTCCAGAGTGACAGTCTCGGGCTATCCAAATGCTCTTACACTTAGTGTAGTGTAGCAAGAACGCTCTGACCAAGCCCCAGGAATAGTGTTCCTTCAGTTCCCAACGGGTACAGTAATACACCAAGGAAGCTGTTTCAAATTGCACCAGGAAAAGGTTACAAGACTTAAACATGCAGGAACAGTGCAGCCTTGGAGTTGACAATGAACTAGCCTTTCCTACCTCTATATTTTCATCTTCATCCTCTTCTTCATTACCGGAAGATTCTTCTTCAGCTTCCTTTAGCCATTTAATAAATGGTTCTGCTTTGACACGGATTTCTTTGGCAAGATCCTTTGAAACGTATTTCTTTGAGGCCTGAAAGACAGAGACTTTGGTTGAACGCTGAAGAGTTTACACCAGACCATACCCAAACACAGCAAGAACCCAACTTGGACCTCCAAACTCACCCCCTGCCTTGAACAGCCCGTTTTTGGAAAGGTTCCTCTCAGCACAAGCTATCACACCAGAACACAGAAGCCAGATGCAAGAGACTACATTCAGGTACATAACACACTACCCTTTACCTTTTCTGCCCAGCTAAGGATGACTTCTTCTTCCAGAAGATCTGCATCATACATTTCCTTCAAAATATGTGGTATTTTCGAAATAAGCTGAGACTGATGCATGGCTACCACACACTCGAAGCCATGGAGAAGGTACCTCTGGGCTTTCTTGTTGTTGTGGCAGAACTAGAGTTGTGATAAACACAAAAGGGATTCAATTAGCTTTTTGAATTCTTTGAACCTTGAATTACAAGGTTTACAGTAGTTCACACTATCCCTCCCAGTAGTTCTCCCTAGGTAAGCAGCAGTTTAAAAGCAAAACACTACAGTAAGTCTTCTTCCTCACAGTACCAAGCCATTGCTATAAAACACTCAGAACAGTGAGTGCAGAAGAAGGAATTGCTTACACGAAGGAAGTGACGTCTGTATTTTCTTATTTGTTCACGAATCTTTTCGTCAAAAAGGACTTCAGTGAGAACTAGTGGGCCCATGGCCTTTACATCCAGTCTCTCTGCTTCTGCTACAATGTCTTTGTCTGAAGTATCAATGACACCTTCTTCCTTCTTTTTCTACAGGGAAACGGGTACAGAGAGAAACATTTTAATGCCACTTGAGGTCTGTGCCCTTTGCACCCTTCCCCTCCCACTGCTGGCAGAAACAGTGTTTTGATAGAAGCTTAGAGATGTTGCTTTTAGTTTCCTTACAAACACTTCATACCACTAAAGCAAACAACCAGAGAATAGTTACCTTCACAAAATCAAACAGTATGTTGACTCTCTCCTCCACAGTTCTTTCCAAGTCTTCACTAAGCGTGAGGTTCTTTGCATGGTCACTGATTTCATCCATTCTACGCCTCTGGGCTTCTTCTGTTGTGTCCTCACCCCAGTCATCATCATCCTCCTCCTCCTAAAACACAAAAGCAAACCAAGAGATTCACAGTGTTACTGCAGGTTTAGTAATAGGCAAGGGTAGAAATGATACCAACTTGAGTGCATTTTTAAAAACCTAAAGAAAGGTTTACAGTACAATTTGCAAGTCAAAGACCACAGAAAAAGGGAAAGAAGTAATGGAAACTTGAAGCTAGACATTAGTTTACAACCTTCTGTAAGGTTACTTCAAGTGCAGTTTTACCTCTCTCTATATATTCCAGCATTTAAGTTTTGGAGACAGTAAGAGCTTTTGGTGCAATGTTGACCAGCAGGGAATGCCAGTGATTTTTAAGTTTTAAATCAGAACAAGATACCACACCCTTATCTCCCCACTTTCCCTTCTACTTACCACAACCTGTGGAGGAGTAATCTCCTCTGGTGGTGGGGGTGGAAGTGTCTCATTGCTGGACACAGAACCATTCTCTTTGTCCTTGCCTTTTCTGTTCTTCTTCTCCTTTTCTTTCTTTCCTGTACCAGTGTCACCACTTTCTGCAAGTGAATTTTAATGTTTGTTCTATGAACTAGAGCAGGCTACAAAATCCCTGCACCTCTGCCAAATCCCTAGGTGGGTCTGGATGCTTTCATTAGCAGCAAGTTATGTGTAGTACCAATCCCCAAATACACTCAGGGCAGATGTACATCTGGCAGGGAAACTCCTGGTCCCAGTCACAGTCTTATCATCACCAACATTGTCCAAGTCTATATAACAGGTGACCTCACAAAGCAGAGACCCCTGGAATAGGTTAGACTTTTCTATTCTAGCAAGCTTAAATTGCAGCAGGCAACTTAGATGCTTACTACAGAGTGTTGCTTGCACAGAACATTACTGTTTTTACTTCCTACTCTTTTACTTCACACCAATTCTAAGGAACTGCCAAGAGCTACTGCTAACTACCTTTCCTCCTCCTAAGTTGCCCTGCACAGGTAAATCCAGCTCTTCACAAATAGTTCTACCTGGGAGGACACAGCATGACAAGGAAAAAGACAGATCACAGCTCCTCCATCCTGATCCCCAAACATACTCTAGGACTAGGCTGGAGCCTTTTTACACTTCAACTAGCTGTGAGCTAATTGTTTTTCTTTTTCATCAACAGCACTCATACAGAAGTTCTCTTTACTCCCAGCAAGTAAGGAAAGGCACTTACCAGGTGGGTTTTTGAGAATGAACGTGCAGAGTTTATGGTTTGTGTCAAGCATGCCTCGATAGCCACAGGCTTTGCAAGAGTTACCTATAGTTTGTTTCTTAGGATTGACATGCTGCAAGAGAGAACAATCTTCAGTTAACATTTCATCTACAAAACAATTATGCATTAAAGCCTAAACCTGACTTTTACATTATCATCTCCACAGGATTAACACAGAGGAAGTTAAGTAGTAGCAATTTACCTCAGCAGTTTTGAACTGTTATAGATTTAAAACTTTCCCTAAGAGCATAGGCATGTGTACTGGGTTTTCTTTTCATATTCAAGTCAGCTTTAAACTTTGCACCACTTGCACAAACATCTAATGAAGTGTTTCCAGTGTCATCCTTAATACAGAGAAGAGAGCACTCACCAGATCAGTTTCAGGATTCTCACACTCAGGACAGAGAACAAATTTTTTAATGAATCCATCCAACATGTCTTGCAGCTTATTCGCCTCATGAGATCCATTGACAATGTAACGGTCATTCTTAACATCAAACTGGGTCTGTGCTCCCAGCTCACAACCAAAAAATTTGGTAGGATCTGCAGAGAAAGCACAGTAAACACCACCTCCCTTGTACCTTCAATGTGATTTTTAAACAGCCAGTAAATACACTATTGCTTCTTTCTGTTCATTATTTCATCCTGAGATAATCGCATTTCTTTCTTACCAATCTTTAAAGAATGGTATTAATGCTTTATTAGCTATGTAACACTACCACTTCAAACACAAAAGCATTAAAAATGCTGTGTCACTCCACACTACTTACACGTTGGAGGCCGATTAAGCGCCTTTGCAACGTCAACCATGTTGACTATAACCGTCTTTATTCCATTTCCTTTGCCCTCCACCTAAAGAAAACAAATAGTATTCCAAGTCAAGTGACTGCAACAGTCAAACCCAGTGTGTATTCCTCCCCATTTAACTACACCAGAATCCTGCTGAGAATTGCAGCTCCTTAGTCTGGACAGAAATAAGCAGACACCGTCCCCGCCTTTTGAGTGGCCAAGTATTATCATTATCTCACACCTCTTTCTCCTCTTGGGAGAGCAAGTGGAGTGCTTCCCACCAGTGCTTAGGAAGTTACCTTGGCAATCAGACGGGGCATTTTGTAGCGATAGAACTGATCTGAAACACTGCGGTTGACGTTGACAGACATTTTGCCTTATTAGTAGCTTTATCAATAAGGTGAAGAGATCTTTGATTGCAGTTTTTTGGTATCTTCTGTCTGGAGAAGACGGGATGACATAAACGACTGCAAGAGTTCTCGGTCTCTGACATGAAAAAATTTTCGCCACTGAGGCTGTAAGGTTCTTGCTTGTATGCTATGTTTCCCCAATACAGGTACCAGTGGCTGCGCAACAGCTCTGCAAGTATTAAGAAAGAGAACAAAAAATTCATTTTAGCTTAATGTGCATCAATCCGCTCTTGCTACAAAGCTACATAAGGGATTATATTTAGGGTGAAAAAAAGGGCAAAAAAATAAAAGGAAATACGTTCTTTATGCTATAACTTTCTTCAACCTATGGAACTGAAAATAGCAACCCTGGATTGTACTGCTAAGGAATTTATCCTAACTACACCTACAAAGCTTTCCACCCTCTCTTACTATCCAAAACCTAATGAACAGCTTAAGACTATTTTCTGTACAATTAACTCCTGCAGGAGTTCTGGGATCAGTAAGGAAGGGCACACTCCTTGTTTTATTACGGAGACCCATGAATCTTGTACCATAAGGGTCATGTGGCAGGGCAGAAGAAATCAGGAGAAAGATCTGGAAATCAGATTCAAATTCCACAGCATAGCATGAACCTATCACACAAACAGAAGTCTATCACAACGTTGAGAAATATCAGTAAGACAAAGCAGCAGCAATCTGTAGCCCAACACAGTTTTTATGTGGCTTACCAGCTTTTGGATCGGAGTGGAAAAGAGTTGAAAATTAAGTAATTCTCCCTCTCACTTATGGATTCTCATAGCAGCTTCTGTTGAGTTCTGACTTAACAATAAGCCTGATAAAGTCTGACAGAAGTTGCTTCACTGTAGAAAGCCTAGCAATGCAGAGGTACAGAGCAGTGCAGCAGCTTTTCCAGATGATTTTTTTTTCTCGTGGGAAGGGGAGGGGGAGGAAGGGGAAGGAGGATGAATCCTATTATTAATGTTGCTTTCAGCAGTATTTACATATTTAAATTAACATGTGCCTCTATAATCAGATCTAAGTACTTAAGCCACAACTGGCTGACTACACAGGCAACCCTGACTACAGAGCATGGCTACTCTGACACGTCATCATGTTATCATTAATGGCAGAAGCGCTGACACATTAAAGTAGCCTTCTTAGTATTTACACGTAAGAGCACATCTATGATGCAACATGATCCGAGTCCCTCTGGTCAGGTTTACAGATTCTTTACACAGAAGCAGTTAAGACTTGTATAAGCCTTGTGTTCTACATTAGCACAGACGCAGTTTTACCCTTCCTCAGCAAAAAGTACACCGCGGACTCGAGGTTTCCTTTCCCAGGGATGTCTAACAAGAACCACCGCGCAGCCTGACCACGCGTTTGCGGCAGCAGCTATATCGGTGACCGGGCACCCAGAACGAGCGCGGCGCTTCCCCTCCTTCCAGATTACCGCTTTTGTCTGCCGCAGGCTGAAGCTCCCTCTCCTGGTCCTTAGGACACCTCATCCCAAGCACCACCTCCCCCCCATACGCCTCGCACGGAGGAAAGAGCGGGAAGGCGAGACCCACTCCCTGCCGCACAGCGCCGCGTCCCCGCCCCGCTCGTGATGAGTCATAAATGCAGCAATTAAAGCACTGAGTCAGCGCTGCGAGAGATTGCGGGGGGGGGGGCGCGGGGGGCACCCCCAGCCGCGCATGCGCCCATCCCCCGGACCCCCCCCCCCCCCCCCCCCCAGCCGCCCCCCCCGCCCCCCCCCGGGGGGGGGGGGGGGCCCCCCCCCCCCCGCGCGGGGGGGGGGGGCCCCCCCCCCCCCCCCCCCCCTCCTCCTCCCCACAGCGCGGGAGGCGCGGCCCCGCCGCCGCCATCTTGTCTCGTCGCATGGCGGCGGCACGAAAATAAATAAATAACTAGGGAAAAAAAGAAAAGCAAACCCCAAAGAAGACTCACCAAAAAGAAAAACCAACCAACCAACAAAAACCCGGCAAGTGAAGCTCTAGCGGTTTGTTTGGGTTTTTTTTTCAATTGTTCCCCCCCCGCCGTCTCTTCTCTCCCCCCTCTCCTCAAGGTCCGGGACGCTTCGTTACACAAAAGCCTCTTCCCATTATCCGTCGTTTACCGACAAGCCGAGGCCCCAGCCCAGCCCAAACCGCTCCCCCCAGCCTCACCCCGCTGCCCTCGCCCGCTCTACCCCACTACTAACACTCACCGTTTTCGTCCAATAAAGACATAAACCCAACGCTGCTCGCCCCGGGCTGCGACGAAGCCGATTGTGCAAGGAGAACAGGGCCGAGGGGGCGCTTATATTCAGGCGGAGAGGGAAGCGGAGGCGGACGCCGCAGCCTCCGGGTCCCGGCGTCCTGGGGCTGGCGGTATCAGCAGAGAGAGCGGCGCCGGGCAATCTGCGGGCAAGACACAATCAGGGGCATCGTTAGCGGTGGCACCTGTGAGGGAAAGGGAGGAGGAGGAGGGGGGAGAAGAGGGAAAGGGGGGAGGGAGAGGCGGCGGCGGCGCGCAGCCGAGGCAGGAGGGGGCGGCGGACGGGACCCGGCAATGGCTGCCCCGTACTCACCTCTAGAATGTTCTCGCTCCGACTGAACAACGCCAGAGCTGGGATCAATCAGCCAGCGGCGCGCCCCGCCCACCGACGCCGCCATTGGCTCCCCGCTCGCCTCGGAGCGGAACTATTGGCCGGAACCTCGCCGCTCCCACCGTCTATTGGCGAAGACTGCCATCAATCAAGGCAGCCCTGGCTTCACCTCCCGCCCCCTTCGCCCTCCCCCCTGCCAGTGCCCCAAAGGACATCGCGTCTACAGCGACCGAGTCTCGCGAGAGAGCGCTGGACGGGCTGGGGGGGGGGCGGGAGCGGGAGCTGCGTAGGCTGAGTCAGTTCGGAGGGGCTGCGGCTGGAGGGTCGAGGGGGCTTGGCGGCCTCTGCGGGGGCTCTGCGGGGACTTCGAGAGGCTGAGGGGACTCTGAGGGACTAAGGGGGCTCCTAGGGGGCCCCGAGCCCCCTCTGGCCCCACCGCACTGCCCCGTGTGCGGAGAGACTTCGCCGTCCTCGGCTGCCCCTCAGGGCTGCCCTCCCTGCCGGGGAGGCGACCGGCTGCCTGGAGGGCAGTGACTGAATGCTTGACATCACTGTAACTATGTCACAAATGATTTAAAGCAATTAAACTTCTGAATAAGTTGTGTTTTTCCTGTACATCCGGCTTTCAGGGTGCAGGGAAGAGCCTGTTATTTAACTTCAGTGTCATAAAGACTCGGCGATGGGTGGCTGTCAGTGCCTGGGCTGCCTCACAAGGGATGACACAACTGTCGTATGCACATACCCTATTCTTTATACAAAGTGTTGCCAGCCCTATGTAGCTGAATTGGGACCCTGGGTGAAATGCATTTTTGGATTTACATTCACGTAAAAAGCAGAAAACTTTGGTCCTTTCTTTCC